CATTGAAAAGGGTTGTCTTTTAGTTTTTTGGTATTGGCCCCAATATGTAAGGCACACGGTACACAGTGAGACCATTACATGGAAAACACAAAATGAAGTGTGTCTATCACCCCAATACAATAGCCTCCCTGTCCCAGAAATCTCTGAAGTGAAACAAAGACTGTATGTATGAAATCCACTGAGTCTCTCACAATATCCCGAACTTATTGTGAGTAGTGTATATATTTATATTCTTTGTCTGCATTCACTGAAACTGACACACTGTGGCTCCTACGTGCTTTACGTCAGCCAGCAATGTACCCATTCAGGTTCTGTTTCCTTGTCCTGGCTGCGCATCTCCACAGGTTTTAACCTTTATGTATTGTTGTCTCTGCTTTTAGGTGTGGATGTGATTGCCAAGTTCGCTCAGCTGGAGTTTTCTTACGGTGACGCAGAGAAAGGTCGCAGCATGTTTGAGAAAGTCCTCACGAGCTACCCAAAACGTACCGACCTCTGGTCCATTTTCATCGACCTCCTGGTCAAACACGGATCACAGAAGGATGTCAGGTGAACAAAAGCTCCTCCCCATTTTACTCAATTCATTGCAGCTTTTTCCACTCGTCTAAACTATTAAATCGCTAACACAGACAAGTGTAGCCATTTCAACATTTGGAAACCAGCTTCTTGACAATGCAAAGAGAGTATTTTATGGTGTTCTCCAACTTTGTGCATCTTGCAGGGCGCTGTTTGACCGAGTGATCCACCTGAGTGTTTCAGTGAAGAAGATCAAATTCTTCTTTAAGCGCTATTTGGAGTATGAGAAGAAGCACGGCACCCCGCAGAGCATCCAAGCAGTCAAAGAAAAGGCCATGGAGTTCGTGGAAGCTAAAGGCACAGAAGCTGCCAAGTAAAGACCAATTATACAGTCACACACACCCTGTTGTGTATGTGCGTAGACTGCAATGTGCCACACTTGATTTACAACACATTTGTGGCTGCAGATTCTTATACAGGTTCCTCCTCAACGTGATAATGATGTTTTGTTTTTGGGTTTTTTTTAGTTGTTGATTGGTGAAACCTGCTGAACCTGAAAGTCTGCTTGATTACATAATGTTGCACAAGACGACAAACCTTTTGTAAAGCGGGTTGTTATCATCTATAAATGTTAAAAACAAACTTGTATTTAACAGTGTCTTTCCTTTTTAACCATTTTGTATGATACAGTGTAAGAGACCAATTAATGTTATGAATATTAGTTTACGGCATTTCTTAACAGATTTGTAAAAGACTTCTTGTATGAAAACGTTCTATTAATTAGCCAGTTGACCTTTCAATAAATCCACCACCATTACAATACATTACATGACGCTTTATTTAAAATACAAAATAACAATATATAGGGAGACGTTTACATACAATACATACAGGCAAGACTAGTTTTCTATCAGTCTCTTTTTAAAAGGAAAATGGCCTGGGACACAATCGGTAACAATATTGTCTACTTAAATCGTCGGTTGTAATCCAGCTGGTCTTTGTTCCAGTGCTTCACCTACATTGGCAGTTTTGAAGATGCATGTGTGGCACAGGGTTATAGGGTGATCGGCATGGTTTGTGCTGGCTGTATTGGTAACACCCCTGAGATAGTAGAGGTATCCATACTAATCCTGTATTCTGATGTCCTGCTCAATGCCTGTAGTGTTGTTTGTCCCTGGCAGTGCTGCACTAGTTGTCCAGTGACAGTGGCAATGATATCCAGCTCTCTAATGTGGCTCCTTTTCCTGTCTTTTTTTTTTTTTTGGTGAACAGTGCAACATGGAAGTAGAACTAGGAGCATTTGTATGAAAAGATCCTATTCATCCACTCTCTCTGTGACTGATCTGACCAAATCATGTTGGTGCTATCAATATCCAATTCCCACCAAGGCATATTGCTCAAAGGTCAGCAGCAAACGCTGCCACTTGGGATCACTATCAACATTTCCTGTGAGATGTCTTAAACATGACCGCTGTTCATCATCTCTAGTGTTTAATGTGTGTGTTTTCTGTTGGGGGAGTCCGGTTTCTTCTTCCCCAGCTCTCTCACACCTCCTCCGGGTCCATGGGACCCTCAGCACCCTGGGGAGCGTCTGTGTGGAGCCGGAGGATGGGTTTGTTACACATGGGGCACACACTGCGGATCTCCAGCCACTTAAGCAGGCACCTGTCAGGACAAAAATGATTAACACTCGGGTTAAAATATTACTGCATTACCAGAATCTGATGTATTATGATGGATTCATTGATAGAACCCATACTGCTAATGATATGATGGTTTACTTGAAAAAAATGTTGCTCATGGTGCTACTATAAGTCTTCCAATAGCTAAAAATGTTTTTGCTTTTTCCACTCACTGATACTGAAAAGTTAAACTGACATGTTTTGCACTTAATTCACAATGGCAGCTCTTGATTGAAATGTCTGGATAAGAAATACTTTGTTCCATTTAAAAGTAAAGCACTTCAACTTACTTGTTAGTTTAGGTAATACACTTAGATTCTGTTTTACAGAAAAATGAAGAATGATAACTTAGCATTCTCTATTGAAAGTGATCTTGTTCTTCTTTACAAATAAAAACATACCAGTAGCTGCTTAGCTTAAAGACTGTAAACACAGGGAAACACCAGCTGGACCCTGAAAGTGAGAACATCTCCCTGAACTCACTAATTAATGTTTCATATCTTATTTAATTATCAGGAGAAAAAAAACAGTTGTGCTTTTTTAGTGGTTGGTGAGCTTGGTATTGATATATTACTGACACTATGAAGAAAGTTTTGCCATTGGTAAGGTAAGCTAGGTGTTTTCTGGTTTCAGGTTTTATGCTAAGCTAACGTATCATAAGCCTACAGTACAGGCATGAAAACTATAGTAAAGTGAGTAAAACTCATAAGTAAAGCCTAAAAACAGTTTTTTACTAAAATACCGAACTATTCCCTTAAACAAAGTTGAATTTAATTTACAGTATGCAGTTAATTAATTAATTTTTTTTTTAAGTAGTGAAAGCTCCCTTTTTGCAAAAAAAAAAAAATATATATAAATCTGCTTTCACAAATTACAAACCATGTTTTAAAGAATTTTTAGCCTCTGCAATAATCTAGTTAAGATTTTATCAGTCTATATATAGTGGTTTAATGGCCCAGGTGAAAAAAAAAAACATTTAACACAGAAAGAATATATCTAATATTTAAAAATCGGTGTTCAGTGTTTTAAACAGTATTTAGCCTCTCTGATACAGTCTAGTCTACATTTGAACAGTCGCTATATAGTGGTTTTAGATCTAAACCTGCTCTAATGTGATCCTTATGCAGAAAAAGCAATGAAATATCCCCTTTCTTGTTTTAGAAACTTAAGCCTTTTTCCGACAATGTAAGCCCATCTAAGTGTAATAGTTTTAAACGGAGACCTGGTTCAGTATGGTCATAAAGTACAGAAATCGCCACGTTTTGCATTTTTACAAATCGACTAAAGATGTCACAAATCAGGAACTATGCTTTAGAAGGTATTTCGTCTCTCTGTCTATACATAGTGGTTTTAGATCTAGATGTGCTCCAATGTAAAAAAAAAAAAAAGAAGCTGTGAAATCTCCCTTTATACATTTTCACAATTAGAAGAAATGTTTTACAATTGTAAAACAGAACACTGTTTTACAAAATTAATACGTGAAAAAAAACTGAGTTGTAAGTGAAGTCAGTTGTTTTCACTGTTTTGAATCTGAGGCTAGCTTCAACCTTGTCTCCCTTAAAGTGTTATACTTTCCCCTTAGATAACACTCACTTCTTGTGAAATGCATGTGAGCATGGACACACTCCCAGTTCATCTCGGGTCCTGAATTCCTCCAGACACACTGCACAGGTTTGCTGCACCGACAGAAACAACACCAAGGTCAGTTAATGTGACTTTCCTCTATAGAGAGCAGTACGTGCAGATAATACCATTGTGATTTGTAGCAAAATTTGAGCGATAAATGAATTTTATTAAGTGATTGCACATGATTTGTTGGGTTTCTCTCAGAAATATACTATTACAAGACCGTGTACTTACTAAAGTGCCCTGAGATGACTTGTGTTGTGAGTTGGCACTCTTTAAATAAAATTGAATTGATCTGAACAAGCATGCCATTGTTTTGAAACTGTGCCTTTATCTAAATTATGCTTCGAAGCGAAAGGACTATTTATAACTCCAAAAGAGGAATTGGACATGGAATTCAAAGCCAAAATTACCCCATGCCTTGGTTTAGAAATAAAAACAAAACAAAACAAAAAAAAACTCTGAAAAGCAGTCTTTTAAGGGATCACAAGAGACAGCGAAGAGATAATGCATTTTGAATGAGTGCAGTTATTCCTGGAGTCCTACATTCTGCAGACACTCTCACACCAACATTTTTTAAAAGATATTTTCAGGACGTCTCCACCCTGACTATGTGCAGTGTGTTAATCACATCAGGAAGGAGAATCTGATTGAATTAACCAGCCGGACCCTTCCAGTTTATAATGGGTCGACTGAACGACTGACACAGCAACATTGTGAATAACATGAAACATCAACAGCTGATATTGTTCAACATATATGTGAAACATGGAGGCTTTTGCAGAGAGAGTGACTTACTCCTAGAAGGCTCAGTTTCTTGCTTGCCCCCTTCAGCACCACCTAGAGTGGGAAAAAAGAGAGAATCATGTGAATTATGTGTCAGCATCATGGCTCTGCAGAAAAGCTGGACAATTAAGGTGGGTTCAGATGTTACAAAAAAAAATAAAAAATCATCTTAAATACACATAATGCAGTAAGTTGCAGCTGAAATTCAACCTTCCCCGAGGCTAGAAACACTGTTTCTATTCTGTCAACACACCATCCTCCTACCTGTTCACCATATTTCACACTGCAACTGGATTAACATTTTAAAAACCAGATTCTAGGTAATGACACACGAATGTGGTCAAGGTCATGCATTGAGGGTGGCGTCAGGTTTCACAGTTGACGATAACAGCACGAGATGCTGTAGCTGTATTTATAAAGTGCGTCAGATGCTGGTCTTACATGTTCACCCACAGTGACAGATACTGCAGCGACATACCTCATTGTAGCTGAACTGCTCCCTGGTTCCTTGTTGTTTCAACCTGAGAGAGACACACAGAACAACATCTGTACAGTAGACGTGACTGTTGTATCAAAAATCAGCTCAGTGGCTCCCAACCTGCATCTGTTTGTGAAATTATTATAAGGCATTACTTCATCTTCAGTTTTGTTCGAATGAAGCAATCCGTGAAGAGAAAATTGCTCTTTGACGGAACCACTCACATTTCCGATCACTGCACTACAGTCTATTTACTGTGGTTAAATTGGCGCCAGTGTTCATTTATGAAAGCTTGGTTTGCAATTTAACTCTCAAATGATGTAAATTTCCTATCACCGTGCAGCCTGGATGAATATTCGTGGTCAACAAACATCAATATTTGAGAAATACCTTATTTTGGTTAAATTGTTGTGGCATTTTTAATCAAATATTTTTGACAAGAGTCCTTAAAATGTGGCATTTGCACTAAGTGACACTAAGATTGTTTTTTTCTTTTTTGCCAATTAGAGGCAGTCTAAGAAGCTGTAAATACAATATTGACACCGTGTTTTCTTAAAAAAACAAACAAAAAAAAAACCCTACCTATTTAGATCAAATAGACGCAGAGCAACATTTGCATTTATTTACACTGAATATTTGTGAATTTAAGTTTAATGTTCACTATACTTGTAGCTCTTTTTGGCCTGGTGGGCCAGTCAGCTAGTTAGTTGTGCTGGACAGGTTATTATGGGTTTCACTAACAATACCTACAACATCTGGAAAAAAAAAAACACTGATGAGAGATGCAAGTGTGAACCAAAACAGCAAAAATGTGGCTGTAAATAAAACTAATGGGCTGAATGGCGCTAAAACACTCTGTGGAACTAAGTTTTTTTTGTTGTTTTTTTAAATTATTATTTTCTGGCCTTTTTGCCTTCCCTGTGCAGCGTGGGTTCTCTCCGGGTTCTCCGGCTTCCTCCCACATGGTCCAAAAACAGGTTAATTGGTGATTCTAAATTATCCATAGGTGTGGATGTGAGTGTGCTTGGTTGTCTGTCTCTAAGTGTGGCCCTGCGATGGACTGGTGACCTGTCCAGAGTGTCCCCTGCCTTCACCCTAAGTCAGCTGGGTAGGCTCCAGCCCCCCGCCCCGCGACCCTAGTGAGGATTAAGCGGTGTATAGATAATGGATATTCAGGATAGGGAGCGAGTGAGACAGGAAATGGGGGAGAAGAGGAGGGGAGGACCTGCAGCAAACTGTCATGAGCAGGAGTCGAACCCACAACCGCTGCGCCCTGTTCATGGGTCGCCCGCTCAACCAGGTGAGCTATAGGGGCGTCCCTACTCTGTGGAACTAAGTTGACTGCAGAGTTGGAAATAATTCTTTGAGTTCGTCATTAATGGCAACATTTCCACATTTGATTCATTGTTAATATGGAAATATAGGCTAGTACAGGAGCTGTAGATGAAGCAGGATGCTTTGCAGTTGAAAAACAACACAGTTTCCGAATTACCTCAAATACATCTGTGAAAATATGTTGTTTCTTTTTGGCTGTTCTGAGTATAAATATCAAGATATCTGCATTTGTCTGCAATGCTCTAATCCACTCTGTTAAATTAATTCGCTTTTACAACATATACAGAATGTCAGCTGTGTGTTGCAACATGCGAAAATCGAAGCATAAATATGTTGTTTTTTTTAAACCCTTTATTATAACACATGAACTATATGTTGCAACTTTGGCAGCTCTGCAGGGAAACACCCCATAAATTTGAATCATGACTGCTGCTCTCATCACCTCAAGATGTGATGATTGCTTATTGCCAAGGTAATAATGAATAAATTTTAACCTGCTGAGGCACGTTGTGTTGCAATGCTCGTTCAAGGTGCCAAAAACTCAACCGGATTGTCCACCTTCCCTCCCCAATGCTGCTCTACCTACCTGAAAAGGTAGCAGCAGAAGATGAGGCTGAGCATGAAGACGAAGAGGCCGATGCCCAGCACAATGACATACACATTGAGCGGCAGGTGATAGATGTCAGACGTCATGCTGCAGTAGTGTTCAGAGCGCTGAGAACCCAAACCACACAGGCATCCTGACAGGAAGAGTTTGCAAATACAGATTACATACTTTGCACTTTGCACTTTGAAGGGTCCAACATGTTTCAAATTCTTAACTCTTCCTCATTTTTTATGTGATTTACTTTTAATAAATTAACACCTAACAGTCTTTGTTAGTATAACAGGAAATGCAATTTTAAAAAAATAAATGCTACATTTTAATTTTGTGTACAGCCTTTGTCTGTTTAGCTGCATTTTCTTTCCTGAATTGAGAACTGCCAAAAAGAATAACATCCAGTCCTGCAATATTGTTCACTATCTCGTTGTAATCACCTGTCTCAAAACATCTGCAGAGTACAGTACTTAGCAGTGACGGTTCAAGTCTAAATCGGTAGCATAAACATTAGACTGTGCAAATTGTAGCTGCAAATGTTCTGTAGTGAGTGCAGACAGCAGTTGAGCAAGTACGACATTTCCCTTTGTGAGGAAAAAGTGAGCCACAGTCACTATTTGCAGATCATAAACACCATGTTTTTGAATATACAGTTAAGAGCAGCAGGAACCATGGAAGAGAAGAAGGAGATTGTTGATCATTAACTTGGGCTTACAGTACTACCGCAGGCTTCCAGTGCCACCAGGATGTTAGTGCCTGCAGACACAAAATCTTATATGTGCTGAATGTATGTGGCACTCGAGTTTGAGTCTGACTTTATGGACAAAGTGTAAAATATTTTGTAAAGACTCAAATATAAGACTTATTTTGGCATTTGTTTGGATGCAGGTGTGTCCATGGAGCTGTGACTGGCACTGTGGTGGCAACTGAGGCGCTCGGAGGACTGTGCGTTAATTGGCTGTGAACAAGACAAACATGAAGGACAGACACCACTTCCGCCACACCGCCATCTGTTCCACAGACTATAGAGGTGATTGCTTTCGTGTGTATGTGTGTGGTGTGTGTGTGTGTGTGTGTGTGAGCAAGAGACAGCACTTGGGGGGATGGAAGGGGAAGGCTGTGTGGTTTCTGTGTGGTATGACAGAAAGATGTGTGTGTGTGTGTGTGTGTGTGTGTGTGTGTGTGTGTGTGTGAGTATGTGCTGCAGGTGGCAGGGGGTGGGTTTTATTGAATAGAATGAACTCTGGGGACAAGGACCATTTGGTAAAACAATAGCGGAGGAAGCCCCACTTCCACAAGCCACATGTGTTCCTATTAATTTGCAGCGAGGATGCTCTTTGCCAGCCTCTAAATGTCCATGTGTCTCTCTTTAGAGTGAGTGAATGGGTACAGCTTGCACACTGTCGGGGGTATGGGTTGGATAATTTGACATGGTTGGGGGTTGGGGGGAATTACAACAAGGTGGTGGTGGGGGTAGTGTAGGGAAGACCTATTGTAGCATACTGGGAGATACAATTATGAATTAAATCATGGATGCATTCAGAAGAAAACAAAATGATAACATGAAGTAAGTTTAGACGGTAAACTATCTGCTGATGCAGTTGTCATAGCTGTCAAACAAACACGGCCTTGAATGCAGCTTATTTTAAGTGCCCTCAGCTCACTCTTCAAAACACAAACTGAGGCCTCCACTCTGAGTAATTTGCCATTTCAAAAACACATCCATTATGTGGATCCCATTAGCTAGCAGCCAGAGACTAAGCAACTGAGCTTATGAAGTAAGTACATGTGCTCCCACCTCTCATGTATTTGGAATACGACAGAGAAATCCACTCACTTACCGTTACACCATTGGAATGGTTGCATGAAATTTGACTCCCAAGGCAGCAGCAGTAAATTCAGGCCCTGTCAGGAGAAGGCTGGAGACGAGCCAAGCTCGTGGGCTGGAGCTTCGGACACCGAATCTGTTTTGGAGACTGGATTCAGTCACCCTGAGCTGGATCGCTCTTTTGTTGGGTTATGTTAGCTCCTGCAAAAACAACCATCAAGATTTTCAGATTTGCTCAGATTCCACAAATCCTCAGGAGGTGTGGTTTTGTTGGCTCAGCAGTCTGTGCTGCCCAGCATTCCCAAATCTGGATTAACCACTCCGTGTTAAGATTGGGAGATTTGGGACTGGGGTTTGGACCGGGACTGGAGACCTCATGTGCTCCTGGATCCCAGTGAGAATGATGTCATCACAGGGGAGAGAGAGAGAGAAGAGACAAAGAAATCTTGTTGATAGGAGATGATTGTTTTTCAGATGCCTCACACCATGTGCCATCAGAAGTTATTGAATCTCACTCAACCACAATGTCGCAAATAACACAGACTGCGTGATAACAGGAAATACTTACATTTCCAGCAGAAAAGGGGCCTCTTTGACTCCACTTTGTGTCTGCAGTGTTGTCCCTTCGCCAATTTCAGTGACATCTACCGTTCAAAATGACAGTCCGCACCCAATAAAGGTAATTATCTGGCATTAATCTGCACTTTGTCTTCCTCCCAAAGCTGCTTTTTTAACAGAGGATTTTCACAAGTCTCATCCCCCTCTCGTCTCCTCTGTTGTCTCCTCCTCCAGTCCTCTGATCTTGAGGTTGGTATCCCTCCTCAGTATCGAAGGCAAAGACGTACTTCCCTCAAAGCCCAAACAAAGTGAGGACAGCTCCATGCAGTCAACAACAGTCCTCTAGCTGGGTTTGGTGTTTTGCTGGTGTGTTTGTGTGTCTGTCAGTGGATGTGTGTGTGTGTGCGTAGGGGGGGATCCTACTCTCCCTCTAACCATCTGCTGCTTCAATTGAGAAAAAAAAAATAAAAAATCAGAGACAAAGGCGGTGTGTGTGCAAGAGTGTGTCTGCGTGTGTCGCATTCAGCCCCTTGCACCTCCAGCTGGCTTTGTCATGGCAGGCTTCCCCTCTTCCTCTTTCAATCCATAATGGTGCTCAGAGAGTGCCTGCAAATTCGTCTTTCCCTTCCTCCCCTTGCTCTTGCTCTGCCTTGGGTTTGTAAACAGATCTCTGCTCATGTGACCAGCCGTTTTGCCTCGCAACTCTCCTCTCCCTCAGCCCTCCCTCGCTACCTCTGTCCTCCAATCTGTAGGCAGAAGGAAGGCAGAATGAGCCAGACACTGACGAATAGGGCGCCTGCAAGCATGCTGATGTGTATGTGTCTGTATGCGCACACCCCAGTGCATGTATATGTGAGAGGGAGACAAGAGAGACACTTGCAGCAAAGTCAAGGGAGGCCCCGGTCAGCAACATGCGCATGGCTGATGTCCTGACAACCAAAACAAAGCCATTTGTGTGAAGTGGAGGTCAGAAAGGAAGAAATGATGCAACCTCAGTCATCATTTCCTCTCTTCACACGTACACAGATTGTATTTTTTAGAGCTACAGCAGAACTACAATGTTTTTTTAATGTTTGCTTTGTTTGTATATATAAATATCTGTTTTGCAGCAGATGCAAAGAGCAGGGACGAGGAAGCATTGCTGACACACACGAAAGAATAAGAAATAATATAAAGTGGGAGACTTGGAGAGAGAAAAATCCCAGCCTGGACAGAGACGCTGCATGCATGTCCACCCCCACACCAGCAGCCCTGGCCGCCAATTCGCTGAAGAGAGAACAGCTGCCGGGCTACTGGGTGAGCTGTGAGACGGTCAAGGGGAGTGCTGCTCCACTAATCCCCAGGGGCAGGGAGGGAGGGAGAGCCTTCAATGGGATACATGCCATTTTCATTCACCCTACCTCCTCTACTCCACCCCCTCAGCTCTAGTAATGACATTACTCCTGAGTACTGAGGAACAGCTGGATGGACTGCACAGATGCATGAGCATAAATACAGCCCGAAATACACTGCATGCATGTTGGGTGTTTTCAGAGTCAAACATGATGTGTGTTGTAGATACGAGGGGTTGTGTTGTCATTGTTGGCATGGGGTGGTTTTGGCAGCAGCACGCCCTCTTGTGAAATATGATGAAAACACCATTGTAGCAACAGCTTCCTGAAGATATATAAAATTATTTACAAGATACACACATTCAAATCTAACTACATTCATGCGAGATACATTAAAGGAGCTTTTAAATAGAAAATTCTTGAGTGAAACGGGTTTAACTAGGGAGTGACTGGCAAAACTAGAACTAGGAAAATGAGAGAAATGCAAACGCTGGCCTTGTTTTCTTAGTGCCATGTAAATTGTTTTGGCTGCCACAAGCTTTTGTTTTTGCATAAATCATAGGTTTGCCTCATTGTAAATGTTGTAGCGTTGTTGGGCTATCTCCTCCAAACACAAAACTTACTTAGTAATGCCTTTTGCACGGCAACATCTCACTCAAGTTAGCTATCATTGCCAAACAACCAGTCATACCACAAAGCAAGGCCGCTGATGCAAAGTATGTGCAGGGGAAGTGTAAGGTTGTGTTATTTCTTCTTACAAACACATCACTTTTAATGGAAGGATCAGCGAGGGCTTAAAGTGAATTCAGCTTTTTCCTTCGCTCGTATGACCCTTGTTTCACTTTCTGTCTGGAAGTATTTATGACGGCCCCACACTTAAGAGCAACACAAACACAAGTGTTGTTATCAATGAGAACTCTCCAGTGTGGCATAATAATGGTTTACTATCAGTCTGATGCAGCAGCTCTTATTAGAAGTTTAGAATTTACAGACTCCAGGTTGTTGCCAAGCTCTGCCCCTTAGAGAGCAGTGGCAGAGTGTGTTTACAACAATAATTCATTACTAATACATAAAACAAAGTTGAGACAAACATAAAAACAACAGGTTTTGGACTGCACCCAGGACCAGACATCTGCTGAGTTAGCTGAACTGTATTTGAACCAGAAATATGTTGACAGTCTGTTTTGTGTGTGTGTTTTTTTTTTGTTTTTTTTACTATTTCATTATATTTAAATATTAGTACATATAGCTATTAGCTGGGCTAAGATATCATCACTCAAACTACATATTGCACACTTTATATGTGCTCATAAAATTCCTCGCGTACTAAAATAAAAGTTTCTAATAAACTCAATCAAATAATTGTTACAACATAATAGTGTCTAGAACAAAGAAATTTCTGCAACTCCGAAACAGTGATTGTCTGCAGCCTGAGCTTTTGTTTTTCTCTTTGTACTTGTCAGACCTTACTATAATACACTGCCCATTCCTTTTTCTCCACTTCATGGGTGTGTCCCTTTGCAAACCCATTTACTGCTCCGTTGATGTTTCCATTCAGTTTGCCATTGTTTATGCCATCTATTTGGTCCTTTCTCAGAGCCAGCTCAGGCTTACAGGTGTGCCAGTTCCACAAAACCTTGTTCATGTCATTCTGGGCCCTGATACCCAGAAGCTTTTCTTCGTCGCTTTTCTTGTCCTCGCCTTCGTCGTCGCTCCCGTCCCTGCTGGAGCGTCGGTGATGGAAGTTTTGCATCTCTCCGCTGATGTTCTCGAAGTACTGGTGGATGCAAACTTTGGCAAAGCTCTTGGCGTGCTCCTTGCAGGTCTCATCGAACAGCTTGCGCTCGATGTCAATGTAATGAGACCAGTACTTGGTTTTGAGGAAGGCGGCCTGGGTGAAGCATGGTCGAATAGCTCGGATCAGGAAGGCAGTGAAGGTCATCATGAGCAAAAACATCCATCCACATGCCTATGAAACACAGACATTATTAAATTCATAAATGTAGCAAAATAATCACCATTCTGAGCACTTAAAATATGAGCACAATTTCTATATTGGACTTAAACGCCTTGGACAATTGTTGACTTGTTGTTCATCTTGACTCCTTCAGGTCTCTTTGTTATTGCAGATACTGAAGACAGCTGAGGTCATACTGTCAGATGAGATGGAGAAAGCATATATAGCAGCTTCTTGACAGTTTCACAGCTCATTAACAGAATCTGTATATCAACAGACTTTCTAGAGACGTGTTACTTTTAAACCTGTATAATTGCCCCTCAGCTGATCAAAGACCTAAATAACAGTGTGGGTGTTTTTGAAAGGACTGGAAGAGGCCCCAGTTCCATGAATAATAAATCTGGTGCCTTATCTATGCCTCTAATAAGCGAACCAGGAAAGGTTCAGTGAGCTCAAAGTATGAAGTGAATTATAGTCTGGCAGGGAGATTTAAGTTAACTCAAGTCTTTGAGTAATAAAGCAGGAAAACTAAAATTAGCTTTACTTGAGACGATGTTAAAATAGTTCAGTGAAATGACAACCAGGGCTGCAGCCACGATTTGAGAGATACTGTGGTCACAAGCACCCACAAAGCTCTCCCTTTGACAAAATCCAGACCAGACACCAAAAAGTCTGGTAACAATTTCCATTATCTGGAGTATTTATATTTATTTAACTACACAGTTACATATTCTGTAAATTTGAGGGTCTAAATCCTGTTTGAACTTAGGGGTAAACAGTAAATTCTCTTTCCTTCATTCAGGTATAAATTTGGTTGGCTTGTACCCAAATTAAAATATAATCTGTCTAACAGTCAGTTACATGTTGATCATTTGTGTGCTTTTAATTAAATAGTGGACAAAGGTGTCAAAAACCGGTATATTAACACACAAAACTGTTAAAACCTGGGTATTAACACATAAAACTGCCAAAAACCTGGATATTAATGCACAAAATTATAAAAACCTGGATAATCACTCACAAAACTGTTAAAAACCTGGATAGTAATGCACAAAAATATTACAAAAACCTGGATAAT